GAGGCTGCCCGCGATCACCCTGTTAGGGTTTCCCATTTGTTGGGCACTAGTCACTGATGGGCCCTTGTGGTTGAGAAAGGCAGAGCCACCATGGTGTGAAAGTGACAGTAGCGTCCCTCCCCAGGAGATAAATGTGCACTTACAAGTTATTTTTGATGTTATCCCATCTGAAATTAGCATCTAATTCTAATTAGCATCTGTGTATATTTTGTTTTAATCAGAAAACCCAAATATTCCAAGAGGAACAGAAGATTCAAACGGTAAGTGTGGATCCTATGCTACATTTCCTCCTGAATTACAGTGAATTTCTGAATTGCCTCTGGGTTTGATGGATAGAACCGAACCTCTCATGTTCTTAGGAGGCCAAGCATAGATAAAACATTCCCCTGTGTGCACGGCCAAGAATCTTCCATGCCCCAGGGAACCAAACGTTTTCTGACAGTTTGATCCATAGCGTTAATCAGCTGGTGAGCCCCTAGCAATCAATGCGCGGCAGAACAAACTCTGCTGAATATGACGGTTGTTCCTCTATGTGGACAAAGAAGTTTGTTTGCCCCATCACCACTTCAGGTGATTAAAAAAAATTCATCTAAACTTTTTTCCAATGAAAAACCAAATTCCATTTTGTCAAGTATTTTTCTCAGGTGCTCATTAAAAAAATAACCCCCCCAAACTGAAGGAGGGTAGGAGAAAGGGATCTGTTTTGGATTGTTTGGGGGGGGGTCTTTGTTTTGTTTTGTTTTTATGCAAGCCATAAAATTGGTTAGCAAAACAAATTTTGGTTTTCATTCAGATTTTTCAGAAGGGGGGAAAAAACATTCCTGTGGAAGCTCTAATGATCTCCTGTGTTCTACAGTATTCCAACTCCGCCCGGATCTGTTTTGGATTGTTTGGGGGGGGGTCTTTGTTTTGTTTTGTTTTTATGCAAGCCATAAGGATCTGTTTTGGATTGTTTGGGGGGGGATCTTTGTTTTGTTTTGTTTTGTTTTTATGCGAAGCCATACAATTGGTTAGCAAAACAAATTTTGGTTTTCATTCAAATTTTTCAGAAGGGGGAAAAAAACATTCCTGTGGTAGCTCTAATGATCTCCTGTGTTCTCACAGCAATCTACAGTATTCCAGCCTCCGCCTCCAGTCTGCCTTTTCTACCACAAATAGGCTGTGTCTAGACTGGCATGATTTTCCGCAAATGCTTTTAACGGAAAATGCATTTGCGGAAAAAAGCGTCTAGATTGGCACGGACGCTTTTCCGCAATAAGTGCTTTTGCAGAAAAACATCCATGCCAATCTAGACGCTCTTTTCCGCAAATGCTTTTAACAGAAAACTTTTCCGTTAATTTTGCGCAAAAGGACTTTTGTCCGAACGGGAGCAGCATAGTATTTCCTCAAGAAGCACTGATTTCTTACAGTAGGAAGTCAATGTTCTTGCGGAAATTCAAGCGGCCAGTGTAGACAGCTGGCAAGTTTTTCCACAAAAGCAGCTGCTTTTGCGGAAAAACTTGCTAGTCTAGACGCAGCCCATAAGAGCAGGGGGGAGATTTCAGACACAACTTTTTTTCATCAGAAAATGTTGGTTCATCAAAGCCGGAGCTGTTGGCGCTGTTCCGTTTCAACAAAACTACTTCAAAAATATTTTGGAAACAAAAGGGTCAAAATGGTCCGAATGGGATGTGTTTTGACATGGTTTAAAGAAAAAGTTTTGTTTTCCAGTTCCAAATCACTTTTCAACTGAAATTTTCATTTTAAACAGAATTTTTTTTATAGGCCAACACTGAAATAAAACTTTTCTAAATGAGCTAAACCTAAAAGCGTTATTTGTCCTCACCTGAAAACCTTTTTGGATTTATTTGTTTGGGAACATTTTTAAGATGTCTGACTTTTCACCCCAGTTCCTGTTGGGATTTTTTTTTTTTAACTCTCATGAGTCGAGACAAGCATTTCCCATCCTGCTCCGTGTGTAGCTCTTTATGCCAGCAGAGAATTTGCCCTAAGAACGGTTTTGTTTAGTTGTGACGCTGCTGAATCTGGCCCTAGTAACGTTGGGGATGCTACAGGGTATGTCACAGCCTGCGTGGGAATCCTGCGTTACTCCCTCTTCCCCAGTGTATAAACAATGCTGCCTTGGCAACCCAGTGAATGCCAGAGCAGTAATCAGTACGAGTCACAACTGTGTATCACTTACAGTCATCCTGCAACTATCATATCTTAGCCTGTCAGCACCTCAGTCCTGCCGACAGACAGGCGCAAAGGGGGCAATTATCCGGGGCCCGGTGAGTCAAATGCTGCCGCAGTAGCAGTGATGGCAGCCGGAGCCCTGGGTCCTTTCTATCACTGCTGGAGTGCTGTGATGCTCACTCCAGGCAGTGCTAAGGGCTGGGGAGGAAGGGAGGAACACTCACTCCAGGCAGTGCTAAGGGCTGGGGGGGTAGGGAGGCACGCTCCAGGCAGCACTGAGAGCCAGCTGCCCTTGGCCCTGCCCCTTCCAGGAGCAAGTAGCTGCCCCCACCCCTCACCTTGCCCAGAGGCCTTTGCTGCCCTTAGAGCAGGGCTCTGGGCCAGATTTTGATCCTAGACCAACCACGGAGAGAAAGGATGTTCTTGTGGTTAAGGGGCTGGGATTTGGGAGCACGCAGCTCAATTCCTGGCTCTGTCGCACACTCCCCATGTGGCTTCACCCCGTGCCAGTTTCACCATCCCGAAAATGGGGACCCCACCGCTTCCATTCTCCCACCCTTCATCTTGGCTGTTCAGACTGTCGTAGGCTGTGTGTGGTCGAGATTGTTCCTTGCTGCGTGATTGTACAGCGCCTCGCCCAATAGGAACCCAATCTCAACAGGGGCCACTAGCTACCACCCTAATACAAGTAATGAATATTAGACTAATTTAGCACATCCAGATTCGTGTCGCAGAAATCAGCGGCGTTACTCCAGATTTACACCCGTATAACTGGGATCAGATTCTGGTCCCTGCCTGGTCTATACCTCTATAAACCAGTGATGGGCAACCTAGGCTAGAGAGTGGGCCGCTTGAGTGGCCCTTCCGTCATCTGAGTAGGCCGCAAGATCACAGTCACCAAGACAGTCTCCTGGATAGTTTTGCTCCCTGCGCTTGCATCCCTAGAATGTGCGGGGTGGGCCGATTGAACCAAACGGAGCATTGATTGGCTGCAGAGGGAGCGCACGGCTCTCCCAGGCAGTATGGTGTGCACTTAGCATGCACCCCACTTCCTGGGCTCTGGCTTTACGTGCGTGTCACCTTAGTAACACCAATAGAAAAAAACCACACGGACAGAAACCAGCAGGATCTGTCAACCCTGCACATAGGTAACAGTAACCAAATGTCTCACGGACCACACCTAGAACCCTGACAGGCAGGTTGCCCATCAATGCCACCACTGATATAAACAGCCTCTTAGTTTGCATATCGCTACAGGACACCCTTGGTCATAACATCTCTAACCCTCACCCTTCCTTGTTTCGTCTAGGTTCAGGCACCAGCCCTAACAGCTTCAGGCTAATTTTGACGCTCACCCTAACAGTGATCCTTGAGCTGACGTGAAGGTTTGCCTCCTCCTCCCTCAAACAGCTCCACCCGTCAGTTGGTTTTCTTTTCTTTTTTTTCTTTTCTTTTTCTAAACTATTTACAGTCTTGTTATCGGTCTCTTTCTGTCTGTGTCTTGGCTCCCTCAGTCGATTTAATTAAAATAAAAAAATTTCCCCCTGGTAAAAGGCTGTGCATATTATTTTCCATATGCAATCCTTGGCATATTGAAAGGGCAGTCTGGTCCTTCCACATGCAAAACAAGGGCTGGTCATTGTACCCAAATGCCCATACAGGGAATGCATCCAGGCACATATTTTGCAGATGTAGTTTAGACGCTGGTGTTGGTAAAAGTCACCCCATCTGGACAAACAGAGGTGGAAAGTCTAGCAATGGCTAGGACCAGGATTGAGGACAGGGGGTTTTATCGCCAGCTCTGTGTGACCTTGGTTCAAGTTGCTTTGGTCAACATTTTCAGAAGCTCCCACTGATTTTGAAGGCACACCCCAAATTTCCAGGTGTGGTGCATTCCCATTGATTAATGGTTATTGGCACTCAGCCCCTATGAAAATCAGATACTAGGTGTCTTAGGTTGGATCCTCAAAAACTGGTGCAAACTTTTGAAAAGCCTAATCTCCACCTCTCTGCCTCAGTTTCCCTCACTGCAGATTGCACATATATTACTACAGTGAGAGTCCCAGATGCAACGTGCTGTAGAAGTTCAGAGCATCGCTGTTGCCCACTAAAACTCAGCCTGTGAGTTTCCTTCTTCTTTGTAGGCCAAAATGTCATAACATTCCATCATTTCCTGAAATCAAAGGAAGTGACACAGAAATAACAAGTAGGAATTAGTCATGGTTTGTGCTGGGAAATACAATAGCTGCCTGGAAGGGTTATTATTGGGTCTTAGAAAAGGCAGGCAAATGCAGAAGTGTTTCGATTTTTAATGAACTGAATCTGCATTAAGGGCCAGATCCACCTCTTCTGTAACCCCATTGCCTTCGATGGCATTACACCAGGGCTGTGTCTAGACTGGCCAGTTTTTCCAGAAAATCAGCCGCTTTTCCGGAAAAACTTGCCAGCTGTCTACACTGGCCGCTTGAATTTCCGCAAAAGCACTGTAAGAAATCAGTGCTTTTTGAGGAAATACTATGCTGCTCCCGTTCGGGCAAAAGTCCCTTTTGCGCAAAAGGGCCAATGTAGACAGCTGAGATTTGTTTTCCGCAAAAAAGCCCCGATCACAAAAATGGCGATCGGGACTTTTTTGCGCAAAAGCGCGTCTAGATTGGCCAAGGATGCTTTTCCGCAAAAAGTGCTTTTGCAGAAAAACGTCCGTGCCAATCTAGACGCTCTTTTCCAAAAATGCTTTTAACAGAAAACTTTTCCGTTAAAAGCATTTGCGGAAAATCATGCCAGTCTAGACGTAGCCCAGGGCTGATATATTTGTCTTGAAATCAGAATCTGTTTGTCCTCTTTAATGCTTGGTCTTTGGGCTCCTGGGAGTAGAGAAGAGCAAATAAAATGGGTGCTTAGCACAAAAAGAGGCCAATTTAAGGACCCAGGGCCAATTCCCCCCCTTGGTTTGTACATATTCCATGTGCTTTTATTAGTATTTAGCCCTCCCAAAAGGCAAACTGGGTAGGAACCAGTCCCCCCCCCCCTTTTGAACCTTTCTGGTGTGCAGAAAACAGTTCCCAAGGCAGGTTGACAAGCTAAAATCCTGAAAATATTTGCAAACCAAAAAGGCCCATTTTTTTTTTTGTTCTCATCCATCAAAACACTTTGCTTTCAATTACAACCAGTTGGTTTTATATTTTAATTTGTTTGTTTTGTTTTCTATAATTGAAGCTCGAAGCAAAAAGTCATTTTGAAAATGCAGATTTGGTTTAGAAAAAAACAGCAAAACAAAATAGCGACAGTTTCAGAACTTTGGTTTCCAGCTTTGCGTTAGATGCATCTGGCCTTTTCCCACGAGCAATTTCAGTTGCAACCCAACAGCATGTTCGGAGGCAAAAACCTTTCACGGGGCAAATCCGAACCAGCTACCCAAAGGCCCTAAGATCACGGTCCCATTGCAACAGGCAGTGTACAGGCAAACAAAGACAACCGCTGCCCTAAAGTGCTTACAAGCTCAATATGTAGCTCTTTAAAGACTAACAAGATGGTTTAATAGGTGATGAGCTTTCGTGGGCCAGACCCACTTCCGAAAGCTCATCACCTATTAAACCATCTTGTTAGTCTTTAAAGAGCTACATAGTTTTTCCTTTTGTTTTAGCCAGATCAGACTAACACGGCTACCTCTCTGCTACTATACAAGCTCAATAGTCTAGCTAAAGAATGGGTGAGCACAAGAGTAGTAGCCCCACGGGGAAACTGAGACTTGAGATTAAGTGACTTGCTCAAGGTCCATGAGATGACTGGCAATTGCCTGCATCCCAGCCCAGAGATTTAACCACAACCCTACTCACTGGAGACAGAGGGCAACTCCATAGTCTCAGCGCCCCTTAGCCAGTCTTGAATGTTGAATTCATTACAGATCCCCTTAGAGCCAAGACAGTTGGAGGTAAAACCTGGGCTGGAGATTAGTGGATTCTGGCTCCAGCCTTGCACCGCACTGCCTGCAGGCTAGTGCCAGTGAAACAGATTGAGGAGCTAGGGCATGCGTAGCAGGATAATAAAATGAAAAGCAGCGTCGATGCCAAAGGGACGGGGGAGGAGAGAAACAAGGGTCACTTCCTGAAAACTCATTTTAATAGGCAAACAAAATGCCTTAATTATGCTCCAGCATCATTTATTCATGATGCCTCGGTCGGGCCCACGAAGAAACCCGGCTCGGAAATGAATATTTAATTTCCTTGTACCAACACCTGTGATTTTTTTTCCCTTGGATTTGTTTAACTGAGGCTTGGTGCTTAATCGCATGGATGTTCCTGCTCAGAGGGGAGTGAGATTTAGTGCGTTCCTCTCACCGCCCAGTTCTGAGCTAGCAATAACATTGTGCAAACACGCCGCGCTGAGGGAAAAGCACTGAGGCCTGGAAGATTTTTCCCTTGTTCTGCTCAAACACAGGCTGCATATTGATTGTCACCGCAGCAAACAGCGTGTATTCCGCACACGCATGGGGCACAGTGAGTTTGGGGTGCCCGGAAACCTCTCAGGCATTCAAGCGAGGCAGGAAAATAGCTTTTTGTTGAGTTACAGATACCAACAGCCTCCCTTCCTCTCCCCCTTGCGGTGATTTTTCCTAGATCTCAGCACATTGCACGAGCTCTCATTTCCTCCCTTGGGGATCGGCGTCAGTCCCCATGGAAGCACAGCACAGTCGTGCTAACCCTCGTGTAGGTCTGATAAAGCCAAGGGACGACTCCTCAGTTCGGCCTAGTAAGTGCTGGACACATGCCAACAACCAGACGCTTCCGGGGTCACTGTCTTGGGGTGGGTTTATGTTGGTCCTGTGTCTAGCGTGGCTTGGAGCAGCTCAGGGGCTTGAAAGAGGCCCTGGTATAACAACAGGAAACACAAAACCCCAGGAGGGGGTCCATAGAAGGCTGGCTGTGCTGGTCCTGGTCACCCAGGGAGACTACGCATGGCAGCCAAGTCCCCTTGGCATTACTGGAGGGGCCGAAAAGACTTGGGCATGGTGCAGCATCCAGTCCCGTATTTACATATGGCACCATCCTGTCTACTGTCCCTTACAGCCAGTGTTCTCTGCCTCACCCCGTAGTGTTAATGCAACCCCCACACCTGCTGCTCCCCCGAAGCAGCCAGCAGGAGGGTCTAGCCAATGCGAGTGCAGAACTCGTGCTCAGGACAGGGTCCTTTTCTGCCCCCAGCGCTGCCCTCACTTAGGAGCCGGGCCCGTTGCTGACTACCTCTGGGGCGCGGCGCAGTCTGTGGGCCCAGGACAGGCAGGGGGCCGCCCTAGCGCCCCCCCCG